TGCATGGTCTGGCCTCCACCACGCTCATCTCCTGCCGTTCTCCCTCCTGCTCACATGCTCCAACCACTCTGCCTCTTCCTGCTTCTTTGCTGGGTTAGCTCCTACTCAGTCCTTAAGTGATATGTGCCGTGCTTTGTCACTTTCTCAGCGATGTCTTCCCTGACTCCCTGGGCCAAACCACCACCCCAAATATAGTTTCTTTCTTTCTTTTGGTGAAGCTATACATGGCAAGACATATATCAATTCAACAGTTTCTTCATGTACAATTCAGAGACACTGGTTACATTCTTCAAGTTGGGCCACCTTCCTCAATATCCTTTTCCAAACTGTTTCACCATCGTCACCACAAACTCACTGCCTCCTAAGCTTCTCATCTAACCTTTCGAGTTGCTGCTGTCAGTTTGATCTCATATAGATAATTCTTTAAAAGAATACAATGCTCAAGGCAGACAGTCTTTTCTAATTAAGCTAACCTATTGTCTGGTTTAAAGATGATTTCGGGGGATAGTTTGTTTAAGGTTTAAAGATTTCCTCAGAGCAATAATTTTAGGGGGTCATCTAGCCTCAGTGGCTCCAGAAAGTCTGCATTTGATGAGAACCAAATATGGTTTCCAATCACTGATTTTGCTTTTTCTTCCTATCACTGTTCATGGTTTGTACTCATGTCTTTTTGTGTGACTATTGCCTATGTTTCCCTCCCCCTAGAGTGTAGACTCCACGGGGCAGAGATGTGGTCTGTTTTGCTTACTATTTGAACTCCATGCCCTAGCTAAATGCCTTGCACATAACTGAGGCTGAATCAATTATTATATCCATGAAAGGATATATGGTAGAAGCAGATTGTAGGGCTTGAGGGGGAAAGTAAGTGATGAAGGTAGGGTGGCTGAGAACTGTGGCCCATCCAGGGCATACCAGAGACTCAGGAATGTGTGGTCACAGGCCTGGCAGGGCTAGCCAAATGATGACCCTTGAAAGCCCCTCAAGTGGCTTGGAGACCTCCAGTCTCTCCCTTCCATATAAATCACAACAATAATGGAATGTTTGCAGTGTACCAGACATTGAGTTAATGTTTTAAAGGTATTTTCGTGGTTAATCCTTGTAGTCCACCTTATATGGTAGAGATCACTAACCGTTTTTCATGCCGAGGAAGCTGAAAACATGGGAATATTAACAGTGTTTGTCCTTTTGTGATTGACTTATTTCACTCAGCCTAATGTCTTTAAGTTCCATCCATACTGTAGCATGTATCAAGACTTCATTTCTCCTGCTGGCTGAGTAGGATTCCATTGTATGTATGTACCACATTTTGTTTATCCATTCATCCGTTGATGGGCATTTAGGTTGTTTCCACCTTTTGGCTATTATGAATAGTGCTGTGAGTACACATTGGTGTACAAGTCTCTGTTTGAGTCTCTACTTTCATGTCTTTTGGGTATATACCTAGGAGTGGAATTGCTGGGACATATGGTAGTTCTATTTTTAGTTTTTTGAGGAACCCCCCACACTGTTTTCCACAACAGTTGTACCATTTTACATTCCTACCAGTAATGGGTGAGTAAGAGTACAAATTTCCCCACGTTTACCACTTTATTTTCTGTTTTTTAATTTTTTTATCTTAGCCATCCTAGTGGGAGTGAAATTATATCTCATTGTGGTTTTGATTTGCATCTCTCTGATGGCTAATGACATTAAGCATCTTGTCATGTGTTTGGTGGCCGCTTGAAAGGTCCTCTTTGGTGAAATGTCTGTTCAAGTCCTTTGCCCATCCTGCATTTTGTTCTAAGGATTTTATGGTTTATAGTTTGCACATTTAGGTCTTTAATCCATTTTGAGTTTGGTTTTGTGTATGGTGTGAGGCATAGATCCTGTTTCATTTTTCTGCATGTAGAAATCTAATTTTCCCAGCACCATTTGTTGAAGAGATTCTCCTTTCCCCATCGAATGGACTGCTGAGAGCTGGGACTGAGGGTGGCTTCTAGCAGGCACAGATCAATCACCTGGATTCCCGCATGGCTGTGACAAGTGGGTCACTAACCCAGAGGTCTCTTTGGCTGGAATGAATTTAATCAGCATTCTGCAACAAGCGTTTCTTGAGTGCCTGCTGCCCACAGCCTCCTGAACTCAATAACCACCCGCCATCTGCCAAGAATAGAAAGGTTCCATCCCTTCCCTGTCCCTTGCCCAGAAATCTCTCTCTAATTCTGGGGCTGTAGGGTTTGGAGGGGGAGGCTTGAAGGTCAGCTTCCTTTGCCCCCTCACAGGGGAGTGCCTGTAATGCCGGAGGGCGGAGCTCACGCGGTACCAAACTGCTACCAGCCGCCGTCGATTCCAACGCACAGTGACCCCATGTGTTAGCTCTCACCACGTGTTAGCTGAACTTTGTCTAATAAGTAACAATACTCTCTTTTACAGATAGCGGAGACATGAAGATACCTGGCATATTTTAAACGTAGTTCCCCAGGCCCATGTGGCCGGGTTCTTTTAACTTATATCTTTAGCAGATCATAGGTTTCGGGTGATGTATGTCCAGGCTTGGAAGCAGACCTGGGCACACAGAAGCTTAACAGTTTCAACTGTACCTTTTCCATGTGTTTATACTCCAGAATAAAGCTGAAGATATTTTTAGGGTAATTTAGTAACAAAGCAGTTGTGGCGTCTAAGCTTGATTTTTGTGTACAGGAGTCAAGAAACCAGTACGAATGACGAGCAGGCTGATTGATCTTAGTAGTAGTGATGTTGTGCTATTTGTGGCATTGTTTGTTGCTGACACTTCTGATCTGCAGTTGCCATTCTTCCCAGGCTTGTTAATTTATTTAAAAACCTAAGATAGTTTTTGTTTCCATGTGACTCCTATCGTAGAAGAATTTGCAGTCGGACCACGAAATACAACAAACAGGAGCAGGTGTCACGCCCAAGGAGAGACTGGCCTGCACATAGATGCTCATGAGAATCCCGTAATCAGTGGTTCTCAGCCAGGGCGATTGTATCGGGGCTCTGAACCGGTTCATTTCCAGTTCGACCCCCTGCTGAGAATTTGCATTTCTAACAAATGCCCAGGAAGTTATACATAAGAATCACCTGGGGATTTGTTAAAATGTAGATTCTGATTCAGTCTATCTGGGCGGAAATGCAAATTATCCACAGGGGGTCAAACCAAAAGGAACTGGTTGGAAGCCCTGGATTTCTCCCCCGGGGGATATTTGACAAAGCCTGGAGACATGTTTAATTGTCACAGCTTAGGGGGAGAGGCTACTGGCATTCAGTGGACAGAGGCCAGGGATGCAGCTAAACATCCTCCAGGGCACGGGACAAGCCCTACACAAAGGACTGTCTGGTCAAAAACCTCAGCAGCGCCGAGGCTGAGAAACCCCGTCATACACACGTGAAGAAGATACGGTGTAAACCGTTGGACAAATCTGGACTCAGAAAAAACCCAAGTTGGTGCCCACAGTTTCGGCATCCTGGCTCTGGGCTTTCTGGGGTTTTTGGGTGTTCTGTTTTGTTGTTTCCTTCAGGTTTTTATTTTGAAGTCATTTCAGACTTAAAGATTAGGTAGTTTTCATAGCAATTGGGAAGCTTTGCTAAATGTCGAATGAGGTAAAAGAGAAGGAGAGGGACATAGTAGGAACAGACCCATTTAGGGGTCACTGCTGGGTGACCTGGAGCCCTGGTAGCACAGTGGTTAAGAGCTCGGCTGCTAACCAGAAGGTCGGCAGTTCGAATCCACCATCCGCTCCTATGGTCCTGTAGGGCCACTACGAGCTGGAATTGACTTGGTAGCAGTGGGTTGTTTTTTGTTGCCGGGGGAACCCTGTGGGAAAGAGTCGCGGGCTCAGAGTAGAGGGGAAGGTTTGACAATAAGCTTCTTTGCTTCCTGGAAACATCCCACAGGCAAGAACAGATTACCCAGTAAGCAAGGTATGCACAGGCTTCCTTTGCTTACTTCCTGATCTGTAGTGCACGATTTCACCAAAGATGTGATAAAACCCATGTGAAATTGTGCACTACAGATTGGTAAGCGCAAGTAAGCCCGTGTGCACCCTGCTGACTGGTCAGTCCCCCCGCCAGCAGGACACCCCCGTGTCTATCTGTGCCTTCGCTCCCGTGTGGTTTAGGTGTCAGGGAGATGCCACCTCACCAGCTCTCACTTGGGCTACTGATGAGCGTGGTGTCCTGAGAGAGATCACTTCACCCCCTAACCCTACCCCAGCCATTGAGAATGGCCAGGACAATCCTGTAGGCCATTGCCTATTTAAAATAAACTTGCACACACACACACACATATTCTGACTAAAAATATAGAAACCTAGAGGGTGAAAGTCTTCCATAATCCTGATAAATGTGTGTATATCCCTCCAGTTTTCAATGTATATGTTAACATATTATGATTAAAGATAATATTACGCTATATTATACCATTTTACCATTTGTGGTTTTACCGTCTGTATCATGGACGTTCTTTGTGGTAGTATGATGGGTAGATGAGTTAAAGTTGTCTGTAAACTAAGCACTATAGTAGCCACCTAAGGAGGATGGGTCGCACAGTGGTTAAGCCCTTGGCTGCTCACCGATAGGTTGGTGGTTCAAATCCACCAGCTGCTCTGTGGGAGAAAGATGCGGCAGTCTGCTTCCATAAAGATTACAGCCTGGGAAACCCTACAGGGCAGTTCTCCTCTGTCCCGTAGGGTCGCTGTCAATTAGAATCAAACGATGGCAGTGGGTTAGTAGCTTCCTGCCTACCTCAGAGGCATTTAGCAAGACTCATAAATTAAGATTTGTAAAATGTGTTGAGTTTCTCCGATGAAAATTGTCATCTGCTCTGCTCTGTCTTTAACTGGTTATACAGTTTTGAACGATTCTATTACTAGTTTCTTTTGAGACGTTGTTGTCAGATATTTTTAAAGATATCCTGAGTCCTCAGAAAGAAATCATGATGGTTAGGTTAACATAGTCTGTGTGATACTCTGAGATTCCAACCGTGTCTTCTGTGTTCCTGACAGGCAGATATGTGTATCAGCCTATGACCCCCGTGGAGCAGCTCCCAAGCACGGAGATCCCTGCCCAGCCTCGGGAGCCCACAAACACCATTCGGATCTCAGTGTCCCTCACTGAACACTTTCTGAAATTTGCATCCGTCTTCCAGCCACCCCTGCCCCCTGACTCCCCAAGGTACTGTATGATCTCAGACCTCTTTATCGACAACTACCAGGTCAAGTGCATCAACGGGAAGATGTGCTACGTGCAGAAGCAGCCCCCGCCGCAGCCCCACAAAGCCGGCCCCGAGGAGGGCTCCCCACACCATGCCTTCATTCCGAAAGAGAGCAGCACCCCAAAACTGGATCACTGCTCTTCTCCCTCCAGTTCAGAGGACTCGGGGATCAATGCCATCGGGGCTCACTACGTGGAGTCGGGTGACGAGGACACAGAAGAAGGAGCTGAGCTGAGCTCGGAGGAAGACTACAGCCCCGAGAGCAGCTGGGAGCCAGACGAGTGCACCCTACTGTCCCCGTCGCAGTCCGATCTGGAGGTGATTGAAACAATAGAAACCACCGTGTGAGGGCCAGGCCGGGCGGCCTCTGCCCCAGGCTGAGCTTCTGTCCTTCCATCTGATGAATCCTTTTTTCCAGCGCGGTTGATATTTTCTACCCCTTCCTGACACGTAGCAGCTCCACGTCTGCTGATTAGCTCCACGCTTCAAGTAGTCTCACAGCTAAGACCTTCTTTTTACTAGAAATGGTTTTCTTTTGTATCTTGACTTACTTTCTATGTAGCGTCTGGTGTCATGCGTTGTGACCCAGCCTTAATTTCCCTGGGAACTTGCGCTCAATGAAGTGACGATCGTGGCGTCTCATGGATCAGACTGAGGGGCTTCCTGGAGCGGTGGAGACAGTGTTTGCACATAACCCGTCCTTCACAGAAAACTCTGGGCATTCCTTCCGGTATGCTCACGGGCCCCCTGTCCTGCTGGTCCCACCTGGAATCAGCTCCCCTGAGTGGGTGCTGGTAGATGCCACTCACTCCTCCTCCCCTCCTCCCACCACCTGCGTTGGGTCTGGGCCATGGAGTCCCAGGGTGGGTCCAGTGCACCTCGGCTGACTTCCAGGAGGTCACTGGAGGCCAGCTCTGCCCCTGGTTAGGACCAGTATCTGCACAGCCCTCTGTGACCTGGGGCTGAGCTGGACCTTCACTGAGAAGAGGTGCCATCTTCAGCTTCATGCTCAATCCACCTCCCCTCTGCAGGCTCAGTGACTAAGGCCTGGCTCTTGACATGAAGGGACCCACAGTCCAATAGGGAGATGACGCACACAGGTAACAGGACCCAAAATGCTCTGGGAACCCAAGGGAGGGGAGGTGGGCTGACGGGGGAAGGTGGCGCAGAATTTGAGCCAGCCTCTTAAGTGGGTTCCCCGGCATTCCCCCTCCTTTTCTTAATCTTCAAATCTGGGGAAACATTTTAGGAAGTTATATAGGCATTATATTTAGGAGGCAGCCACATCTGTAGTTTTAAGAAAATAATAATAATAGTTTTAGTTAGCATGGAAATGCTAAAGAAAGGAGTCCTTTAGGGATTAGGAATGAATCTAATAGGTTTGGTTAATTCTGCTTCATTTGGTTGTATGAAGCATTGGAATGACTTAGGTGAGAAATGGATTAGAATTCAGTATGATGCATGGGTTTTTATGCAAATGCAAGAGCAGCTGAGATAGCTGACGGCTAAGTCAGGAGGAAATACTTTGTGTGATACTCTTTCACTTTACTACAGCGATAGTCACGGTCTGCTGGACATGTTCTCACACACACACAAAATGGTGGATAATTCTAAGTTCTTATTTAGCTCTCTTCAGAAACCTGTTCCTAATCTCCATTTGCATCGGGTATTCTCGTGTGGGTTGGTTACCCCATTTCTCCAAATCTTCTTTCCGTGAGGCGTAGCTAAAAGTCCAGGAGGTTTGAAATATGGCCCAATGAAGCCACAACCATCACCGCTGACAACAGAGAAATACCCCTTATATCATTACTACCCACGAGCGGGCACGCGTCAGCGTCCTGGCCCCGCTCTCTCGCCTGTGTCATGGTGGTTAGTGTTAGTTAGTATTTGAAGACATAACGAGAGGCCTGTTGGGCTCTTCCTGAAGCCTCCATCTGGCGCTCTCCACAAACCGCCCCAGAAGGACCTGTTCTGGCTGCGTGTAGTTCGGTGATTTACAACTTTGTTAGGCTTAGGTGCCAAAGGCGTCCGTAGGGTTTAAAAGGCAGAGTATGG